TGTCATCCACAGACAGACTGTTTCGCTGATTCACAGCTCATCAGTGTGGCTAGACGTCCGGTTGCCTAGATAGATATAGATATATAGATATATATATAGTACAGGTAATAAATCCGTTGGTATATAATCTAAGTGGAAACTAATAATATCAAATACTAAAACTGATTCACAAAAAGAGCTCAATGTTTTTATTATAACAGAGCATACAAATTACACAACAAAATCCAAATTTACCTCATATGGAGGCGGGTATAGATCTATTTCAACCGACGAACACTACATTAGTCTTATTTAACCCCGGTGTATAGACTGAAACATCCAAATGGATAAACTCTATTTCAATTTTTCGATGGCTGTCAAAATTAAATTTCTAATCACGACATGAACACAGTCTATACAGCGGGGTTGACTAAGACTGACGTAGTGTTCGTGGGTTAAAATAAATCTATACCCTCCATATGAGGTAATTTATACACACACACACTATATATATATATATATATATATATATATATATGTGTGTGTGTGTGTGTGTGTGTGTGTGTGTGTGTGTGTGTGTGTGGTCTGGGTGTGTTTAAATGTCACATGTAATTGAAATATATCTGTAAAAGGACAACTTAAATAAAGAGAAAAGGAAAATTTATTTTAGACGATGCCTTTCGTCCTCTGGGAGATAATGTGACAATTTTATTTTACTACAAACATTTATAAACAAAAGTAGAAAAAATGTTGTTGGTTTTTCATAATTTTTAAATTTTAAGAGACGTTTATAAGTATTCATCAGGTCAACTGAAAAGTCTTCGTAAATTATGGAAGATGCTAAGTGATGTAATATCTCCATTCCTGAAAGAATTACGACTATCCCAAGCTAACATACATAACTATAAAAATGTTACAAAATTAAAAAAACAAAACAAAAAAAACGGCGAAATTCCTAACCTCCTATTATTTAAAAGCAAATATAATACATAAATTTATTCCATACAAAAATAATTTCAATATTCATTTCATAAAGTAATTCATCAACCTTTTTAATTTACCGACGCGAGACCAAGATTTACTATTTATGAGCATCTCTTAACCCTGTGTTCCTGAAAAATTTGAACCCTTCTGCCTGAACCCCTGAGTTAATATTCAGAAATAATTGTTATGTAATGTTTAACGATATATATATATATAAATAGTTACAAGTGTTTACCCACAGTTCAACAGGTGGCTGGGCATTAATTCATTTTTCTCTTCCACAGTTCAACCAGTGACTGGACATTATGTCATTTTTCTCTACCACCAGTAAAGCGGTGGCAAGGGCTCAAAGGGTTAATATACAGTAATCCTAGGGAGATCAGTTTAGTACTCAATAACAATAGGTAACCGATCCCCCACTTTATGTCCAGTAGAACCATATAAATGTCAATCATGATTCGAAAAGAGACATGGTCGTCCAAGCATGCAACACAAATGACACCAAAGGAAGGATATTAATCCTTTGAGCCGTGCGTTCCTGAACAATTTTAACCCTTCTGCCTGAGCTCCTGGGTCAAAATTCGCAAATAATTGGTAACTAATATTTCACGGTAGATTTAAAAAATACTTACAGCTGTTCACCCACCGTTCAACCGGTGGCAGGGCATTAAGTCATTTTTCTCTACCACCGGTAAAGCGGTGGTCAGGGCTCAAAGAGTTAATATGCTGTAATACTAAGGGTATCAGTTTAGTACTTACTGACAATAGAAAACCGATCCCCCACTTTATGTCCAGCCGAATTGTCCAAATCGTTTAGCAGTGCAGTGTGTATGTGTTAAAGCCCTCATCACCTAATGATATAATCCACTAGCAGTAACATAAACTCATTTACATATAAATAAAGGCCTTGGCCATAAATAAGCCCTTCAATCCCGGCTCATCTCCTGGTCATCAACCCAGACTCCTAATGTAAACTGAGGCGTCCCCTTAAGTGGACCCATACGTTTTCACCAACGCTATCTAAAACAAATTCAAAAAACACCATTTCCAGACAGTTTTGCCTTGAAGATAGCTGGCACATAGCAGTGCTAGTTTGAAATAGACTATACTTTCATGATGTAATTTTGTATTTTTTGCTGTATTATATATATATATATATATATATATATATATATATATAGAGAGAGAGAGAGAGAGAGGGAGGAGAGAGAGAGAGAGAGAGAGATAGATAGATTTGTGTGTGTATATATATATATATATATATATAAAGTGAGAGAGAAAGAGAGATAGAGATCGATAGATAGATAGATAGATATATAGATTTGTGTGTATATATATATATATATATATATATATATATGTATATATATAAAAGGCAGGATGTGTGTGTGTGTGTGTGTAACGAATGCAAGGCCGCAATTTTCGACGGATTTGCACCAAAATTTACATGCACATGCTCCAAGTTAGTAAGAAGGCCAAGACCGACTTTGCATTTCCCAAACTCCCATCCATAATCGATTTTTCATGCTTCTACGGCCGTTTTCATGTAGTTTGCGGCCATTTTGTACTGGCCAGAGTGAGAGCCAATAAAACTTACGAATAGGCAGGAAGATTCTATTGGCCAGCGTGAGAGCCAACAGCTGACTGACACGAATGTTAAATAGCATGCTAGCATGCAAAAAAAAAAAAATCGATAGCGGCATTCGTCACAAGTGGGAAAAATTTAAATCTGCATGGCACTTTACTCCCATTGGCTCATTCGCTTGCTTAAACTCAACATTGATTCTGATTCCGCAGAACTGGGTTGGGTGTGAAAAAGTATTGTTGTTAACATTCTTTTCTCATTCGGTTTTTCCAGTTACGAGTCCTTTTTTTAAAGCTGATCGTTTTGTGTTCATTTTGTTTAGTTCTTTTTTCATAACAGATTTAATGTTTAGTATAGAGCTTTAGAAAAATTATCAGTGTGAGATAGGTAAGAAGTAAGGCATGTAGCAACATTAACACGGCAAAGGGCACTTTTTAAAGGCAAGGAAGGGCAAAAATATTTTAAGTCAAGTGATAGCGATTGCTGTATGTGTCGTATGATTTTTGAATCAAGCACGGGCAACGCCGGGCAATGCTTGATAATATATATATATATATATATATATATATATATATATATATATATATATATGTCTCAATAAATTAATGACGTTATGTCTGTTAATTTTTAACAAAATCCGTTCATACTCACGAATAACCTTCCGTGTATTGATGTTAAAAGAGGAGAGAAATGTGCTATGGCTGTTTAAAATTTCTTATATTTTTTTCATTTCAAGTACTTTCTTGATCTTTTTCCAAGATCATCTTCAGGTTTCAAGTAATACAAAACTATATGTTGTTCATTAATATAAGTATTTATACAAAGTTGTAGTATTTTATATATATATATATATATATATATATATATATATATATATATATATATATATATATATATATTAATTAATGCTGTTTTTCATTAAATAATATAGACAAGTTTTGTCTATTTATTTTAAGTAAGTTCCTTTCATATTATCCGATAAGCTTATCGTTAAAAGACGAAAGGAAAACTCCATATTGATACATGTTTAAATCCAATCTAAGGTTTCGGCTTACATAAGCCATTATCAAAGATGACAATTACATTTCAATAAATCAAACAATACTGTACGAAACAACAATGATAGCCCGCCCTTGTTGCATGAAAATTTCAAATAACGACAAACTCATATATACGAGACGCAGAAGCGAAAATCGCGTCGCACCTCGTGACGTCACGTCGCGAGAGTGAAAAACGAAAAGTATTAAGTATGGGAATTGCTGACTATATATATATATATATATATATATATATATATATATATATATATATATATATATATATATATAGATAGATAGATAGATAGATAGATATATATGTATGTATGTGTGTGTGTGTACGTGTGCGTTAAACTCATCGCTTATTACAAAAAAACTATAAATGCTTCAGCACGATCCCCACTAACGATACAAGAAAAATAAAGTCAATTTTGTCTATGGTGCTTTCTAAGCGTCGCTTAGATGTGGTACAATGCCGAAAGTATGTGGTCCCCATTAAGGATCGAACTCACTATACAGTTGTAATTAGTTTTAGCGAGACAATCTTGTTAATCATTACAGCAGGTCTGGGTTCCCACAGCTTTGTTTTCCCGTTTGGCAAATATTTCTCGATTGCGTGCGTGTAATTTAAACACGTGAGACTTTAGATAATTATATGATGAAGTTAATATAAAGTCAATAGCTTTTGTCTACTGCTCGGAAAGTTGGTTCACTGATTCATATTAGACAATTCTTTTCCCCGGGAATTCTGTCTTTCAATTTTATAAGTCTAAAATTCTTCCGCGCCGTGAATATTCTGGCCACATCTCGTCTGATATTTCTGCCAAATATCTACAGATTTTTGATAAAATCCGAAGAAGAATCTGCAATGTTATCGATCCTCATCTGGCATCACAGCTTCAGTTACTTTCCCACCGCCATAACATAGATCCCCTTGGCGTTTTCTATAAATATTTTCATGGTAATTGATATGATTCCTATTTGGTGCCTCGACTTAAGCGCAGTACTAGATTGGAATGTAGGTCTCATTCTTTTATGCTTGAATTTGCTACATGTAACCGTAAGTTCTATTCTAATAGTTTCTTCTCTCGCACTTCTCTCTTATGTCACTCTTGCTTTCCTGTCAGCTAGAATCTACAAAAAATATAAATGCAAAGTCAGTCGTCATCTTCCGTCTCCTTGAATCCTGTTCTTTTTTATGGTCCTTTCTCGTCAGTAACGTTTTCTCAGTTTCCTGTCTTTCGCGTTCATTAATTCATTGCGTCTTAGTAGCTTTATCGCCTTGCTTAGGTTGTAAACATTATGGAAAGTGATTGTATTATTAATATTATGTTCATAAATGTTTTCTTTTGTTTTTTTCACATCTAGGTTTCAGTTAATATGAAAATAACTTTTAGATTTTTTTTAACAGCAAAAGTAACTAGCTTTAAATTATACCTTATAATTTGAATAATTATCCAAATTTAATTATAAATTATATATTTTTACACCAAAGTTTTTTGTAAGCAAAGGTTAAATTGACTTTCTGTGGATGTATGTTTTAATGGTAAAGACTTTTTATTTCAAACCATAATTTCCTAAATATTAAAATAAAGGAAATTTTAAAATAAAACTATCCGATGTTATGTTCAACTTCGTCCTGGCACTATTTACATTATTCAGACTATTGTCTTCATCTTTGTCGCCATATTTATTACAATTAAGGGTTCAGTTCGACATTCCAACCACCTGAAGAAAGCCGGAGCGTACAATGTCCTTCTTCAGGTGTATGGAATGTTGAACTGAACCCTTTATTTCGCTCACTGGGGTAGACTGTTCTAGTTCCAAGTGCCATGTCTAATGGATGTCAGTTATCAGTTATCTCTTGTTAATTCACCTCTACTGCCTTAATTCGTGCGACGACCCCGGTACAAAACTGTATTGACCTCTACCTTTTCCTTGGACGACATCGGTGACGTGGAGATCGGGGACGTGTGGTATGGGTAACCACTGATCTCTCATAAAACTCTGCCCAGACCTGCGGCCTGGAAAGGACACTCCAGCATCGCTTCATCGCGACGACAAGACACGGGAATCAACAGTCTATTGTACTGATGGGATGATTTCGAAGGTTCTTCTGTAAGGGAACAAGTCACCGGCAAGAGAGCACGAGGATGAGCTCATTTTCACTTCAAGGACGTCGATAAAAGGGAGCTAATGTTGATGGATTGTTTCTCTATTAGCCCGTATACGGCAATGTACTGTTATTGCGATGATCAGTGATATTATGTATGAGCCTGGTCTTAGGATGAAGTATGGCGGAGTAATGGATAGCGGCTCGGCTTGAGGAATCGGAGAGCCGAGTTCGAATTCCACTCAAATCCATTACATTCACTTACATGCTAATATCTTTGGGAAAGGTGTGAATCCTCTTCTTCTCCCTCCAGCTATGGGTAAATATCCGGACAGACTGGTCTACCGCAGAAAGAAATGGCAATCTACTGCGGGGAAAAATCTGCCTCGTCAGTCATGTATCGAAGATAGATGATCGCCTAAGTGTGTATCACTGACATAACATATAACTGACTGATTGGTCTTAGATTCATCGCCGGGAATTGTGAAGTATTTATAGGATTTCAGTACCAAGCTATATAGAAGTAGGTAGGACTAACGTGAGATAGATTGATAGATAGATAGATAGATAGATAGATAGATAGATAGATAGATAGATAGATAGAAATCTACAGGCATACAGCCAAATAAGAACTGGCAAGATGACAAATAAAAAGATTAGCCCAGTATGAAACAACGATGAAAGAAAAAGCTCAATTTTTCCCAGTCAGTGCCTGCTCACCTTGCTTGTAACTCTAAATAAAAATCACCTTTTTACTCTCTATATATTTAGCCTCCTGTGAACATATTTGTTGAGATATAAGGTCAGCGCAATAATTGCATTTCGACACACCACCTAACGATTGTGCCAAATTTTTTGGCAAAAGTTCATCTTGTTTCATGTAATGTTTTGTTGTTTCATTGTAAAACAACGTGCAATGCTCAGATACATGGAGAGCATACCTCTAAATGGACAATTCCTTGCAATATGAGGCATAATTATCGTACCTCCAAATGTGAAAGGCATATCATACCTCCAAATGTGAAAGGCACATCTTTTTCAAAAGTGAAATCAAATCATACCTCCAAATGTGAATCAGATTGTATCTTCAAATGTGAAAGACACAACATAACAAAAATCAGAACGCAGATCATACCTCCAAATGTGAAAGTAAATCACGTCCGCAAATGTGAAACGCAAAACGCAGATCATACCTCCAAAATGTGAAAGACACATCATAAAAAAAATCAGAACACAGATAATACCTCCAAATGTGAAAGTAAATCAAGTCCGCAAATGTGAAACGCAGAACGCAGATCATACCTCCAAATGTGAAAGGCACATCATAGCAAAAATCAGAACGCAGATCATACCTCCAAATGTGAAAGACCCATCATAACAAAAATCAGAACGCAGATCGTACCTCCAAATGTGAAAGGCACATCATAACAAAAATCAGAACGCAGATCATACCTCCAAATGTGAAAGACCCTTCATAGCAAAAATCAGAACGCAGATCATGCCTCCAAATGTGAAAGGCCCATCATAACAAAAATCAGAACGCAGATCATACCTCCAAATGTGAAAGGCGCATCATAACAAAGATCAGAACGCAGATTTTACCTCCAAATGTGAAACGCACATCATAGCAAGAATCAGAACGCAGATCATACCTTCAAATGTGAAAGACACATTATAACTAAATCAGAACCCAGTTCTTACCTCCAAATGTGAAAGGTACATCATAACAAAAATCAGAACGCAGATCATACCTCCAAATATGAAAGGCACATCATAACAAAAAAATCAGAACGCAGATTTTACCTCCAAATGTGAAAAGCACATCATAGCAAAAATCAGAACGCAGATCATACTTCCAAATGTGAAAGACACATCATAACAAAAATCAGAACGCAAATTTTACCTCCAAATGTGAAAGACACATCATAACAAAAATCAGAACGCAGATCATACCTCCAAATGTGAAAGACACATCATAACAAAAATCAGAACGCAGATCATACCTCCAAATGTGAAAGACCCCTCATAACAAAAATCAGAACGCATATCATACCTCCAAATGTGAAAGGCGCATCATAACAAAGATCAGAACGCAGATCATACCTCCAAATGTGAAAGACACATTCTAACAAAAATCAGAACGCAGATCATACCTCCAAATGTGAAAGACACATTATAACAAAAATCAGAACGCAGATCATACCTCCAAATGTGAAAGTAAATCATGTCCCCAAATGTGAAACTATTTATTTATCCTTTTTCTTTTATGTGTCGTATTCCTTCAGGACGTAGACGATCATGGCTCTCCACATCTTCCTGTCCCTTGTAGCTCTTAATAAATTTTGTCCTTTTGTTATTTCTCCCAAACCCTGTTCTACTATCCATTTACTCAAGCCCATCAAGTATTTTACGTGTTGCTTTCTTCTGTCCCTCTTTCCCTCAATCTATCCTGTGAGTATCAGAATTTCCAAACCTTCTTCCTCATTACGTGCCCCAGAAATTTCAACTGCCTCTTCCTAATGTTAAGTATAAGTTTCCTCTTTGTTTCCATTTTCTCCAAAACCTCGTCGTTGCTTACATGTTCGGTCTATGGTATCCTCAACATCTTTCTATGGAACTATATTTCTGTTGTCGCAAGTCTCTTCTTCATCTTTAAGGAGATTGTCTGCCATACAGGAAGACAGCTATCAAGTAACAGTTCAGTACCCTTTTCTTTGCTTCTAACAAATCTTTTCTGTCTCTTAATACTCTGCTTAGCTTTTGGAATGCATCTTTGGCCATCCTAATACGTCTTCGGATCTCAGTATCACACTTTCCGTCCTCTGTCAGAAAACTTCCCAGATATTTAAATTTCTGTAATTGTTTGATTTTAGTATCCCCGATTTGTAATTTGCATTTTGGTTCATTCTTTTGCTGATAACCATGCATTCTGTCTTCTTGTATTTTATATTTAGTCCTTTCTTCTTGCTTTCCTTCGCTACATTCTATGGGAGCTTTTGTAGTTTCCTTTTCGTGTTTGCTAGCAACAGTTTGTCATCTGCATATCTTATATTGTAAAGGATTTTTATTTGGTAAAAAAAAATACGAAAAATATAGTTTAAACAAATGTTTAGGGTAACATTTAATTTATAAGGTTACTCATCAAAGAGAGACGACAGATTTGTTGTTAATCGACAAAAATTAAAGAATTACTCAAATTAAGTGCATTGTGTGCCAATAACTTGTATGTAAAAATAATCAATGCAAATGAAATATACCTCTTTTACAATGCTGCTTAAGGTCTGTCTAAAATGACTGACTGTCTAATTCGACTGAAAAGTCCAGCGTGGAGATAGTTAGTGAATGACTGGGTTGCCAAAGAAAATGTCCTTCTTTCGCGACCCTCTACGCTAGGGACAGGAACAATAATAAAAACTTGTTTCGCTGTTGGCCAAAAAAAAAAAAATGAAAGAAAGAAAAAGATAATATAATGAGTTAGGGTTAGGGTTAAGGGATTTTTATAATGTACCTCTGCCCTCTCCTCTTCCGCCAATCAAAATGGAAGTCTGCTAAAGCGGAGGAGAACGAGGCGTTCACGTCTTAGGACTGACTCCCTGGTTGACATCGCCGCTCCACTCACGTGAGTCTATTCATTATTTCCGAAAGGTAAACAACATAAAAATAAAATCTTCTTCTTCAAGGGCAATTGCGACACATATCGCAAATGGCATATGTCTTTTAGAGCAGGGGTCGGCAATATTTTGCTGAATATGTGGCGACTTAGGGTTTTAAAATCATTCAGTGTTTGACGCGCCACGTGTGGCAGGCATACCGAAGGTTACAAACCTCTGCTATAAGCAATCTCCTAAAATCGAAAATATGTTTTGGCTTTAAATAACCTATAAAGTGTTGATAAACCGTAAAAGAAAATCAGTCAATCAACCCGACAGAATGTGGCGCGTGAAATGAACGTAGTTGTAAATTTTGCATTAAAAGCATTTAGACTTCTCTTGGGGGGGGATTTTCAATGCCAAAAATGGATTCAGCACCTCCCCAAATCCATAAGGATAGAAGTCTATATCAGGGGTCAGCAACCTTTTGCTAACTATGTGCCGAATTAGGGTTTTAAAATCATTCAGTGTGCCAACAGCAGACGTATTTTTATACAAGGTCAATATACTTGTTCTACAATATATTTTATATAATAATATGTAGTATATATTCTTTGGAAAAGGTATGAGTCCGTTTCTCCCCTCAGCCATGGGTAAATAGCAGGACAGACCGGGTTCTTTAGCCTCGGATGGCAGAAAGAAATGGCAGCCTCTGCGGGAAAAATCTGCCTCGTCAGTCATGTATCGGAAGATACATGATCGCCTAAGCGTGTATCACGCATGGCACATAACTTATATATTAAAATTGAAACAGCGAAATATCTTTTTTGCGTTGTAGCAGTTATTGGTTCGGACTTTGTGATGTCATTTGCAGCTGCGTGCCATTGGAAACTGCTTGGCGTGCCACGTGCGGCACGCGTTGTCTTAAGGTGCCGACACCTATTTTAGAGCACTGCTACTCAGAGTGCTGCCGGTACGTGGAGAATTTTCAGGAAACAAAAATAGTAGTCACATTCCACGACACGGGAGACTGCTGCGATATCTGACTCGGGTTTTTATTTTTTAACTTTTTTTTTCATTTTAATTGGATATTTATTATAATTACATTTTTCAATTACTCACTCGGGCTAAAAGCCATTGCTATACATTTATTTATATTGTAATAGTGAATTGTTTATAAAATGAATATAAAATAAAAAGAATAATACCAATTTTATTCTATTTATATATTTTTCGGGTCTAAATGAATAATACTATGAATGTTCAAATTGGGTTTTTCTCAGATCATTATTGTATAATTATATGTTATTAATATTTTATGTGATTATATGTTTCATGTAATTATATATTACCATAATAAAAAAAAAATTAATTATAAAGAAATAAGTATAAATAAAGAAATAGTTATATAAATAAAGAAATGATAAATAAATTATATATATGTAATATATATAATATATAATACAATATATAACATAATATACAATATCTGTAATACATATAATATATATATACGTACATATATAATATACATGTATAATACAATATATATAATATATATATATAATATATATATATAACATATATAATACATAATATATAAAATAATATATATAATATATACATAATTTAATATATATAATATATATATGTTATTTATATATAATATATATATATAATATAAATATATATAAATTATAATTATATAATTATATATTTATTATGTAATTATGTATTTTATATATATATATATATATATATATATATATATATATATATATATATATATATATATTATTATATAATTATATGGTACAAATATGGTACCGCTCCTTGGAACACTGGGAAAATTTGTTAGCGTCATGTCCTCGTGTTTAGTACAGACTCCGAAATATGACATATCTATAAAAAAAATGATGTGGGATCCCAGCGGATTCCGAGCCCCCTATCTGGATTGGAAAGATTCGCTCATTGGTTTCACACAAAATAAAAATAAAATGCTTCGGGTACGCCATATTAGATCGTTTGGTTGCAGTGTAGAGCAAAATAAATAAATAAATAAATAATAATAAAAAACATTACAAAATCGAAATTTTAACTTGGTGTCTTTAAAAGAATTTACGATGTTTTTATCCATTCATTTTTCCCCCGATCATATTTTACAGCAAGAAATTTGGTAACGTTCTTGTTTTGGATGGATTGATTCAATGCACGGAACTCGATGAGTTTACCTACCAAGAAATGATTGCTAATCTACCCTTATACAGCCACCCGAATCCCCAAAAAGTAAGTGACTTTTATTCGAAACACAATTTTACCTGTTGTTCTTAATCTATGTTTCCATATCTAACTTAGATCATTACATAATATGTTCATCTCTCTATCTCTCTTTTTACCGATCTCGATTCGTTAAAAATCTTTTTTTCTTTTTTTTTAATCAATTCCCTCCAAACAAGGCAAGAATGCTACCATGACGCAAGGGGACACTCAGAGTGAAAGAGAATGAAAAGATTTTAGAAGGAACCGAAAGCTTGAGCCTAAACAGGGAACAGAGGATAAACCTATACTCTGGGTCCAAAAACCGGAGAGGAGTGTGAACGGGACGATAGGCGAACCTATCTACTTCTATTATTATAACATCTATCTATCTATCTATCTATCTATCTATCTATCTATCTATCTATCTATCTATCTCAGCCTCCTCATATCTATCTATCTATCTAGCTAGCTAGCTATCTACTATCTACAGGATGTGATGGATAAATTGTCGCCATTTCATATTTTTAATATCGTGCATGCGCGTTGTTTGTTTTTGATTTTGTCGACTTCACAGTATAGTAGGGTCAGTTGGGCACCGTCTGTGATAAAAAGATCGCCCTGACGCAATTCACTCCACCAGAAATTTTGAAACGGCTTGCTGTACTCCTTGGTATTCGCACCGGAAGCTCCAATACGAAAATTTCAGAGTGTTTGGGTGTGTCAGAGGATTCAGAAAGAGTTGGATGAGTCTAATGGTGATTACAAAGGTGTTTGGAGTGATCACTAGTGATGGCGACGTTATGCCTCCATTCATTTTCCCACATGGCCTCAGACTCAACACAAAGGCCTACATCAAGTGCCTTGAGGAGGAGGTAGTGCTGCCCTGGGACAGAAGGGTGGCTGTTGGAAGACCTTATGTCTGGCAACAGGACTCTGCACCATGCCACACAAGA